GCAGGATACGACTCACAAAAAAAGAATATAACCTTTCCAAAAAAACCTTAAAGATCCCTCCCGGAGTTCAGCTTTAAAAGGTCTGCCAGTGTAAAGGCCTGAACCCACGATTCTCCTACCAGCACGATCTGCAAAGTCCCAACTACTCTTTGTACAATCCGATTAAAAAAAAACCAAAAAGGGCCGATGTTATTTTTGCAATTTTTGTAACTGAATTTCCAGTGCGATTTACAAAAAAAGAGACCTGCCCACGTCCCGCACACACTTCGCGGCTCCTTCGCTTAGCATTAGACACATTTCTATCTACAGAGTCGTCACTCGAGCACAGACAGAAGCACAGAAGCTGCAAAAACTGCAGACAGATCCGGCGGCGCAGCATTTAAAGCGGACCTGTTCGTCATGCAACGGAATTTAGCAATTACGTTCAACCCCCTAAAATATGAATCTTCTCCCAGCTCCCAATTTTATTTCCCCCCCCATTCATTTCTAAAGCCGTCTCCAAAAAGGTTGACGAGTTTTAAACATCAAAAGAAAAAAAATTTAACGCGTCACCCGTTTGCTGGAAAAAGGACTAACGCACAATTGTCAGCTCGTGAGGTAAACAACTGGCAATAAAGTTTCAATATTCTGGGAAGAAAAAAAAAAAAAAGAACAAAAACAAAATGATAAATTCCGCAGCCTCGATCACACACAAATCTTGCGATTTGACCTGCCCTTCCAGTACTAGACATTGAAAAAACAAAAAGAAATGTTTTGTAATATTGCATAGGAGTACCAGAAACTGCCTCATTGAAAAGAAGAAAAAAAAAGACCCAAAAAAATAAACTATTTACATTAAATAAGACACCGAACTGTGTTCCGGCTCTTCGTTGCCACATGTACAGCAATTGGTGAGATACATACTGCTGAAAAACACAAGTACTGGTTCCAGCACTCAAGACCGCAAAGTTGACCAGTTTGCCACATTAAAGAGAAGCAAATAGGAGGGAGTAAGGAAGGCATGAAGAGGAGATGGGGGTGGGGACAAAAAAAACATAAACCCAGGAAAATAAAATAAAATATATATGATTGGTGGATTTATTTTGTGTTCCGGAGCTGATTGGACAGCCAATCCAGTCCTTCATAGAGACCATCTCCGCTAGTTGCACAAGTTGCCTGGATGTACCAGTTTCTATGGCGGAGGGAATGCAGTCCTAGCTTGTCTGTTATTTCGGCTGCGTTCATGGCGTTCGGCAGATCCTGGAAAAGTCACAGAAAAAGCGGGGAGTTATTT